AAAAAAAAAAAAAAAAAAAAGAAAAGAAAAGAAAAAAGAAAGGGAAAAAGAAAGTCTTTCATGCAAAGAAAGTGCCTTCCAATCTACAATAATAATTCTTGAATATGACCATTTATAAAGATAGGTGTTGTATTTTGATGCTCATCTTGTATGTCTAACATTTAAAAACCTAGTGAGTTCAAATATTAACTGTATAATGAAAATATTTTTACATAAAAATGTGAGTTCACAGTTGTTATGCTAGGAATCACAGGGCATATAATAAAATTAGTTTCAGGTATAGAAATACTTAATCTATTTTTTCTTTCTGTCCATCTCCAGTTTAAGATTAATGGGAGAGGAATAAAACAATTAGTTTAAAAATAGATTATCTTGAGAATTTTTCTACCATAGTAATATATAAAGACAAAAAATGAAGTCATTTTTAGTTACTTGAATACTGTCAGGTGGTTAGTAAACTCTTCTCACACAGAAGGAAAACATAAATCAAAACACTTCCGATCCCATCTCTATGCCTTGTTAAGCAATAGTAAATAGTGCCCAGTGCATGACAGGAGTCCACATTGTTTTCCACAGAACACTAACGAAGATGATTACAGCAGTGCTACTCTCCAGGAACAGTGCACCTCTACCACAGATGCAGTACTCCAGTAGGCTTCTTGAATAAGAGCATTCAGAAACAATTCACTTTTGGGTTAGGCGGGGTGGCTCACACCTGTAATCCCAGCACTTTGGGAGACCAAGGCAGGCAGATTACCTGAGGTCAGGAGTTCAAGACCACCCTGGCCAACATGGTGAAACCCTGTCTCTACTAAAAATACAAAAATGAGCTGAACATGGTGGCGGGCGCCTGTAATCCCATCTACTTGGGAGCCTAAGGAAGGAGAATCGCTTGAGTCCGGGAGGTGGAGGTTGCAGTGAGCAGATATTGTACCATTGCACTCCAGCCTGGGTGACAGAGTGAGACTCCATCTCAAAAGAAACAAGAAATAATTCACTTTTAAACAAGCAAAATATATTTCTTTTCAAAAGAACTGAAAACCTACTCAAGTGACATAAAATATGTCTATAATAAGAAATGGCAATAATCATAACACTATATTCTCAGTTGACTGTCCTATGAAAGAAAAGTACCTAATGCTTGTGTGAGTGTTTTGGTAAAGACATAGTTATTTCCTTTTCTGCTTTAAGAATATATAAATTTCTTTTAGAGACAGGGTCTTGCTGCGTTGTCCAGGCTGGACTTATACTTCTGGGATCCAGCGATCCTCCTGCCTCAGCCTCCCAAGTAACTGGGATGACAGCTGCACACCACTGCACCCAGCTAACAATATATTATTTATTCAAGTCAACCTGCTACCAAAAAGGTGTAGTGTTCCCGATTTCAACACTTCAAAAAAATCAAAATCTACAATTCAGTTAATAAAAATAACATCTCAGCAAAACTCCTACTGTCACATCCTTAAAAAAAAAATCCAGCCAATATCTTATTTTGAAGACACATAACATTGACTCAAATCATGATAATCGGTTGACTTTTAACACAGTAGCTTCATTCCCGGCATCTATTTAAAGGTTAGGTACAAAAGACTGAGGCGAAGCTCAGGGTAAAAATCTAAAACTTTCACATCAAATCTTAGATGTCAACAAACTATAAAGCAAATCAACAGATACGGACACATCGAATGAAAGAAAATCATAACTGCCAGCTTTTCAGTTGAATCTTTTAAGTTTTGATCTGCCATTGATCTCAAAGTTAGAATAAAGTTAGTTAGTATCAGAAACAAAGACTGTCTACATAAGATCCTGTAGCCTCCATGACTTTAAACGGAGGGGACTGGAATCTGCTTGGCGGAAGTGCTGTCATATTCCTGCATTAAGTCATTAGTGGTGTGGTAATGCATGGCAATATAGGAGCTGGCAAATCCAAAAGAGTTTACTGGCTGTAAGTTACATGGGCTGCTCTCCTCCTGGGAAGGGCTGCTATTATAGATGCTGTAGTAAGGTTCAATTCGAGTGTTGATGGGGGTTGAGCTGCTCTGACCACAGTGCTGATGTCCAGCAGACATCTTGGGACTTACCACACTTTCCTTTGAATGACTTGGGCCACAGGCCTGGTCCACAAATTTCTTCTGTGGCTTTGGAGATAACATGTAGGCAGAGTTTGTTTCATGATGGGAGGATTTGTTTCTGTTGACTTCGAGGTTCCCCTTTCCCATGGCTCGTAGTCGAGTCTTTTGTTTGCAGCAGAAAACACCCAGGCCTATGTATTGGAGGCACCAGAACACTTTCCTTCTCAGCCCTGCACTGTTCCGAGAATATATAAAAGGGTTTAATCCTGACTTGAAAAATATAAGAGTAAATCCGAACAATTCAAACTGGTAAAGAATGAAGCTCCCATTACTGGACAGAACCACCTGTAGCAAGGAAATCCCCAGTGGAAGACAGCACACCAGGACTGACAGCACGATGATCACACAGGTGACCACGGCTTTGGAATCCTTGGCAGTGGAGAGATTGATGGCTGATACCAGCTGGAGTCGGCTGGCTGCAGGGGTGACCAGCTGGTTGGGACTCTTGGTATATCCACGGGTCTGAACGTGCTGCAGTTTGTTGTAATTCTGGTTCCTATACAGAGCGGGCATGGCACACTGGATGGGGTCTCCACCTCCCTGCACAGGGACCCCCATGAAAGGCTGTGGTCTGGAAGCGTCGACTGTGATTACAGGGGGGCACTTTCTGACTTGAGCGTTCTTCCGCAGGGTCTGAGCAATCATGATGTAAGAGACAGAGACCACAGCCACACAGAAGGTGAAGTCGACCACATAGAGAGACAAAATGGCTTTCCCTTTTCCAGCAATCAGACTGGCCATGGGAAGACAGAGGTGGGACTTGCTGGTTTTCAAGGTAGCCAAGGTGGCAAGGGTGAAACTGGTAGCCCAGAGAAGCAGGGTGAGGAGTAAGGTGCAGGCAAAGGAGGCCGTGCGATTCGGCTGCTTCCCCAGCACCATCCGGAGCCGATGCAGGGCGATCACTGCCACTGTCTTCAGGGACATGATGATGAAGCCTGAGCTGGTGAGATGGAAAGTGAAGCAGAAAGCATCTGGGATACTACTGGCTGAGCTGAAGAATAACACGAAGGTGAACATGGGGGCCGTCACTCCACAAATGAAGAGGTCGCAGAAGGACAGGTTCAGGATCATGAAATCAAAGTTGGTTCTGAATTTCCTGAAGGCTGGATCGAAGAAGGACAAGAAGACAATGAAGTTGCCATAGGAACCCAGGCAGAAGATGACCGTGAGTAGAAAAGTACAGGTCACCAAGGTGGCTGTGTGGATGAGATCCTGAAGACCCTCCTGCAGAGAGGTGCTGTTTCCTTCCTGCAAGTGAGGCACATGGAGCGAGGTGGCATTGGGGGCATCCTGAAGGTGGTCTGTTGAGTTCATCTTCAGAGAGAAATGTCTCCTCCTTCTGCTCCCCAAAAATACTCGGTAAGAAAGGAGTCAGGGTCTCAACTCACAGATGAACAATATGTGACAAAAGTGGCCCAAGGCAGATAAGCCTGCACACAAAAATGCATACCCAGAAACAGAAAGGGATTAATGTAGAAACAGAAAGGAATTCGTACAGTGATCTCATTATTATTAGTAGTAGTAGTACTAGTATCTGTCACCTTGAGAGAAAAATTTATTCATTTATTAGTGATGGGGTCTTGCCATGTTGCCCAGACTGGACTTGAACTCCTGTCTTCAAGCAATCCTCCTGCCTTAGCTTCGCAAGTAGCTGGGACTATAGCCATGCACCACCAAACCTAGCTCACTCGCTTGCTCTCTCTCTCTCTTTTTTTTTTACAAAAGCACTAGAATTTTTCAGCTCTGACTTGGTAAATAAAAAGCATTTCTCCTTACAAAGCTCAACACAGAAAAAGACACAAACAAATACATTCATCCAGCTAATATTTTGTTTTATGAAACAGAGTTTAAGTGTCACCTGGAGAGCATGCTAAAAAGTTTATCACCTGGAGAGCAGATTCCTTGGCCTCACCCTTGTGATTCTGTCTGAGGGGTGTGCAGATGTTGCTTTTAGAAACACTTCTGTGTCAGGCGCTGCCGATATACAAGAACGTAACCTCTCCATCAAAGAGATCACAATCTAGTTGGAGATCAATCTAACTATGTAATTACAGCCTAATAAGGTTTCAGGGTGCTATGAGAGCATGGAAGAGGAGAACCTAATCCAATTTAGGAAGGGAGCTGGGAAAGGATGGAGCTGGAAAAGACGGCAGGGGGGTGGTGGGGGTAGGTCTTTGCAGCAGAGGGACTCAGGTAAAAAACTGCATGTGCTTGAAATATAAGCTGGGGGGTATTGTTGATGCATAATGCGACCCTTCGCTAATTCCCAGAAATCACTAACAATCCTGTTTCCTTCCCTAGGAAGAATCCTTTATTTCCCAATATTTATATTTTTCCCCCCAGGTTGCAATTTCCTGGCCAATTAATTGCATATTCTCCTTTGGAAAAAAAAACAAAAACAAAAACCTGTGTAGGACTACATGTGAGTGGGAAAATTGGAAGTAACCAAGGATGTTAGAATTATACTAGACGTTTACAAGGTACAAAGCACCACTTTGTAAAGTCTAAACTGCTATATAAATGTGAGTTACCATTATCCCAACAAAAATATCCTGACGGCGAAGCAGGAGGCATGTGCCCCATTCCTGCATTTGTTCACTCAATTTACATTAATTATGTGTATACCATATGCCAGCATTATGCTAGGTGCTAGGATGAGTAAGGCACAGTCTCTGCTTTAAAAGAATAACTTACTGCTCCTTTTTCCTTTCTCCACTTTTCTCTTTCTATTTTACAATGAGACTTAATGTGCACTCACACAAATCTACATTGTCCCAAATCTCAAAGTCCTACATGGGCTGATGCCCCACCTGCTCCCAACAGATGCTTCTGTTGGGACAGACTAAGCTGTTCCTTGGAGACAGCGCTATGTTCTTGAAAACCAAAAAGCATTTGCCTTAATGTAGAATTTTAGGAATAATCAATGGCACTGCAGAGGTCCAGGGCTGCCGTTCAGCATACTTAGCCACCAGCTCAAGCTGGATCCCAGAAGCCTCCAGCTGTTAACCCCTTCATTGCTGATCAAGGCGGTACAGAGGAATGAATCAGGCCAGTCAGAGATTACCTGGGGCTCCAAGCAGCAGCTATGAACTACCTAACACAGTCTCTCCACATTTAACAACAGGTACAGCCATACCAATGCCTATCAGACACATACCAGTCCTGGGAAGTCCATATAATTGACTTGTGTCCTTCATCAAGGAAGAAGATAACTTCATCTATATTCTCAATGCTCATGTTACAGATCATGACGATATGGTAAATCTGTCCACTGGAAAGTGAGACCAACTTTTCTATACTTTCCTTTTGAAAAGTTCCATAAGAGAAGAAAATTCTGAACTTTTGTTTCTCGATAGTTAGAATTTTTTTAAAAATAGCACCCGATAGCTCTATTTTCACTTAAAGGCTATATACTTGTTTCTGAACACTTTTGATACCTATAAAGTGAGAAAGACAATTTTTACTGCTTTTTTTTAATGGCTAACTGGAGGACTGGAGCTAATTTATGAAAAGAGAAGTAGAAGAGGCCAGGCGCGGTGGCTCATGCCTGTAATCCCAGCACTTTGGGAGGCCGAGGCGGGTGGATCACGAGGTCCAGAGATCGAGCCCATCCTGGTCAACATGGTGAAACCCCGTCTCTACTAAAAATACAAAAAATTAGCTGGGCATGGTGGCGTGTGTCTGTAATCCCAGCTACTCAGGAGGTTGAGGCAGGAGAATTGCCTGAACCCAGGAGGCGGAGGTTGCGGTGAGCCGAGATCGTGCCATCGCACTCCAGCCTGGGTAGCAAGAGCGAAACTCCATCTCAAAGAGAAGTAGAAGAAAAAACCCAATTTGAGGAGGCAGAAAGAGCAGGGAGGTGATGCTGGTGTCTCTAACCCCCTTATTTCCAAGAGTTTCCTCTTTGGAAGTAGAGAAATGAAGAGGGGTGAAGAGGGATGCAGGAATTTGGTCTGGGGAAATTAGAAGAATGAAGAGTCTGGAATCAGGATGCTAAGAGAAATAAAAAGTAACTAGGTAATAATGAAGTGAGATGATGGAAGTTATGAACACCTCAGGCTAGGAGATATTTGGAAAAAGGGATTGATTTCAAGAGAAGAATGAGATGAAGCAGCATTAACATTAATCAAGAGTAGGACGCAGGAGGAAAAAAGGTGATTTGGGGTAGGAGAGGCAACTTTCACCTTTTGTACAGTTGCATTTTTTTCAACAAATTTAAAATTTTTCAATATATATATTTTTAATAGAGAAGGGGGTCTCACTATGTTGCCCTCGCTGGTCTGCAACTCCTGGGCTCAAGCAGTCTGCCTGCTTTGGCCTCCCAAAGTGCTGAGACTACAGGTATCAGCCACTGTGCCCAGCCTTCAATAAATTTAAAATAATTTATACTGCCATTGCTATTTCCTCCAGGTCAGGAAATAACAATGGCAGTATAATTATCAGCATCACTATTAGTATATTAATTTTATCAAGTGCTTATTATGTGCCAGGTACTCTTCTCATTGTTCCACACTATTAGCTCATTGAGTCCTCACAACAACCCTGAAATACTTGGTATAACATCTCCATTTTGCAGTGAGGAAACTAAGTCAAAGAGAGATTATTTAAAGTGGTGGAACATGCATTTGAGCCTAAGCAGTTGCTTTTCCACACTCTTCACCACTATTGTAAACTGAACAGCAAAAATATCTTTTTGGGAGGCATTCCCAGGTCGGAAGTATTAAGTGGTTATTATATACCAGGCACCTATTCTAGAGGCTTGACATGAATTATCAAGCTTTATTTCATTCTCACAATAATCCTATGAATAGGTATTGTAATCTCTTCCCCACTGAAACTTCCTGGAATCAGAAATTCTAATATACCTATGTAGTTATATCTGTATACCATCTATGTAGATACAGATACACCACACACACACACACACACACACACACACACACACACACACACTTTTCTACGTATCTTTTTGGGAAACTTGATCATTGTAGTTCACATATAAAGTAATCATAAATTATCTCCTATTGAGATAATTAGAAAAAAGAAGGCATCATGGGCTGGGAAGAGAAAAGAGAGAAAANTTTTTTTGTGAGATGGAGTCTTGCTCTATTGCCCAGGCTGGAGTGCAGTGGCACAATCTCAGCTCACTGCAAACTCTGCCTGCCAGATTCAAGCAATTCTCCTGCTTCAGCCTCCCAAGCCTACAGGTGCACACCACCAGGCCCTGCTAATTTTTTGTATTTTTAGTAGAGATGGGATTTCACCATGCTGGCCAGGCTGCTCTCAAACTCCTGACCTCAGGATCTGCCCACCTTGGCCTCCCAGAGTGTTGGGATTACAGGCGTGAGCCACCACACCTGGCCAGAGCTTGCTTTTAGTTGTGTGGGGGAGGAAGCAGTAGAGAACATAAGATAAATAAATGTATGACATAATAGATGTTAACTGCATCTTATGCACAGAGACTTGAGAGTCTAACTCAACAGAAAGTTTTGGGATTCAGTTCATTTTAAAGGACTGCAAAAATAGCTTTTTATTTTAATGTGGTTTAACTTCACTTTCATGGATTCTTTTATTATATATATAGCAGGTATTTTATCAAACCATGGAAAGTTAATGGGGAAAAATAGGTTAAGTTCAATTATAAAAATTATAAAAATGATTTAATTAAATTATAAAACAATAGAAAAATTAGGGAAATGGAGGGAAAGTAAACTCAGGTCTTAGTAGTAACTCCTGAGACTTTAAGAAAAAGGAAGCTGTGACCATAATTTGGAATGACATTATGATGACAAAAAATAAAAGTGATTTGGGGAGGGGAGTAAATTAAGACTGATTTGCTACTATTAAATATTAAATAAAGGTTACCCATGTTATTTGCAATGCAAACACACAAGCTACTCTTTATCTCTGGGATGGTGAATAGGTTAAGGAAGAAGGTGTGATAAAAGACATAAAATCAGAAAGATCTTAAGTTGGAACACCAGCCTTAAGCATGCATATTGGCTGCAGTAAGACAGAATGAATTCACATGTATATTCTTATAACTAGGACATCCTGAAGTAATTAGTAAGCAAAGAATATGGATGAAAACTTATTGTATAATTTGAGTGGCAATTATTTTTCATTAAGATGAGTGAAGAAAGAGCCTCTGATATGTCTAGTGTGCTGTTTTAAATTTTTAGTAAACATTAAAACATGTTATAGGGGTTTTATAAGTCAACTCATTCTTCCAGCCCTTTCCCCGCACCCCACAAAGTGTCTTAGGTTAGCATTTTCAGAGCCTACCCCTCACACAGAGCAAGGTTCTGTATGATTCTGATTCCCATTGTATTTCTATTGATCAGGAAAACCTCAGGGAGGTTAGGTAACTTCCTCAAGGTCACTAAGATTCCAGCCAGATTAATCTGATTTCAAAGCCCTTGCTCTTTCTATCCAGTAGAACTACACTGAACCCAGAGCAGCTAATGGGATGGGAAGACCTGAGTCATTTGATGGGAGGGATGAAGAGGACATGGGGCCCACAGAGTGGGAAACTGCGGAAAGGGGAGGTGGACCCCTGGCGAGGGGCTGGCAGTGGGTAGAGGCTTCCCGGAGAAGGTGAGGTGATGGTAAGGAGGGCCTAGGCCGGGCCAGGTAAGCTTGTAAACGAATTGGCAGGGGGTTGGTGGGTTAGCAGGGCTCAGACAAGGTAGGGGTGGTGGGTGGGTGCGGGGGTTCCACCCGAGCAGAGCCTGGGAACCTGCAGGGACCGGCAGGAAGGCTACCCCGCAGGCCGCACCAGGAGGACAGGTGCGCGGAGCCGGGCCTGGCCCAGCGCAGCCGCGCTCCTCGCTAACCCGCCAGCCTCCGGGAGCGTCCTCCGCACCGTGGGGTCGTCTTTCTCCAGGGGCCCGCGGCCTCTCTCACCTGCCGGGTGGCCGCAGCGCCGCCCCTCCTCCTCCATCTCGCAGTCCGGACCCCAGCTCCGCCTGCCGCTCCAGATGATGCAGGACTGGAGGCATCATCGCCATCGCCGCCGCCTCCGCGCATCCCGGGAGCCGCGGCGAGACGCGGGCGCAAAGGCGCAGTCACGGAGACGCCGAGGGCACCGCCCCCTCCGCCCGACACCCGGGCCTGGCGCCCCGCCTGCGTCCCGCACCCTCAGCGCCTCCGCCGCCGGCCCCCAGGGCCCGGGGCCCAGAGCCCGGCACTCACCGCTGCCCGCCGCGCGACGCGCGCCTGAGCCAGGTTTTTCAGGCCCACGTTTTTGCTGTTTGACGAACCCGGGCTCCCCGAAGTAGCCAAAAGATGAAACGCAGAGCAAGGTGGAGTGGGAAGGAGGGCAAAGACAGGGGTATCGAAGGCACGGGCTTTGGGGGCCTCCCCGGCTGCTTCCCCTGCCCGCCGCCCACCTCCTCCCCATTCCCCGCGCTTTCAAGTCGGCCTGCCTGGCTCCTCACTTAGGTTGCCGCTAATATTTTTCCTCATGAATTACGTTGGCGGCGGCTTCCCGTTTGGAACTTTGAGAATTTATAAATCAAGTCATTGTAATAGAATTTTAATTTAACCAATTCGAACTTACCTAAGCTCTCTTAAGGTAGTAGTGAATTCACTGAGGGATCTCAGCAAGGGGACTAATTGGCAGGAAACTTGCAAAGTATAAAGAAGCTACCCATGCAAACAAAACGACCGAGCCCAGGAATAATGGATATTAATGTATTACTTAATACTATGTTGAATGTAAAAAATCTTGATAAGTCATAGTGCAATGTACAGTATAGGCTAATTTTAGTAAGCAAAAACACCAAGCTAAAACTACCATCCTCTCTCATTCTTCTACAATTCATACATGTCCAAAATAAAGAACTCCTAAGATAGGTTTTAGTCTGAACAATCAAGTAACATTCCTAAGTATGTCTGCTATTATGGGTACAAAATCAAACAATTAAACTCTTCCCCTTCAGTATCCCAACCTAGCTAACTAGGATCTTACTACTTTTCTAACCGTCTCAGGGATGCTATTTAGAAACAGAGAATGCTGTTGGAATGCCCTTTCCTGCATTCACCCTGGTTACCAGAAAACCAAAGTTGATCCCGTTCAGATGAAATACTTAGAATGTTGCTACTGCATTCTTCATTTTAGCCAACAGTTTTATCTTTTTAAAAAAGAACTACCAAGTATCAAAGAATTTAATTAAGCAATTTCTCTTTCTCAGTTCCCTGTGCTTTCAAGAAAAAACAAGAAGGCTGGATAATTTATGAAGTACACATTCAATCCAGGAGTTGCCTATGCTATCAGAATTCGGCTTAGAAATAACTTCAAGAAAGTTTCCAATTCCCACATATTCCACTTCCCAACCATGAAGCAGTTCCAATATGTGTTGTCAAAAATGGTAACTTTGAGTCCCAGAAACAATCAACAGAAAAATACTCGTTAGCATCTGGAGTGGAAATTCTGATCAAAATTATATACCTCTCTATATAAATTAGCTACTGCATAAATAACTGCTAGTTCATTTCCAGGCATTTGGCTATACAAATGGAGATTACAATAGGTTTGGGCTGGATTGAGACCATCCGAGTTACACCTACAGGAGAAACGGCCTAGAAACTGAAAAACAACTCACAAATCATAAAGGATTCTAGAGATCTGTAAGAGGAAATCAGGACCCATCAAAGTTCCAGGCAAGGTGCGGTGACTCACCCCTGTAATCCCAGCACTTTGGGAGGCCAAGGCAGGTGGATCACAAGTTCAGGAGATTGAGACTAGCCTGCCCAACAAGGTGAAACCCTGTCTCTACTAAAATGCAAAAAATTAGCCGGGTGTGGTGGCGGGTGCCTGTAGTCTCAGCTACTCGGGAGGCTGAGGCAGGAGAATAGCTTGAACCCAGAAGATGGAGACTGCAGTGAGCCAAGATTGCGCCACTGCACTCCAGCATGGCAACAGAGTGAGACTCCACCTTAAACATTAAAACAAAACAAAAAACAAAGTTCTAGAACTAACTAGAACCATTCAACAAAGCTGAAACTAGTATATCTACAAAATCCACAAGTGAGCAAAATTGGAAAAAACATTGGTAGTCAAAAAATGGAAAATCTGCAAATAAATAATCAGGGCTAAGTCTAGAACATGAATTGGCTATCAGCCTGCCCTGACAATGGCATTCTTCTAATACACTTTTATTGCAATGCAAATTGATACATGTGCACTTTGAGGAAAACAGCATATATGAGAGCTGTTAAAATGTTCTTTAAAAAAGTTTTGGCCTAAGCATCTCTTACTCCTTGGAATTGCTCCAACAAAAGAAGAGTTTTAAAGCATAACGTTATAAAAATGTGCACTGCAGTGTAATCTGTAGTACAGGAAATTGAAAACAACCTTGATGTTCAAAAGGAATCCTTAAAACAATTATGATATACTAATAAGACAAAGTCTACAAAAACAATTACGAAGACCATGCAAAAAAAGTTGCTTTTCCCGTGATGACAGCTGACGATTTTATTATTTATGTGACTAGGTTTCATTCTGTCACCCAGGCTGGAGTGCAGTGGCATGATTTTAGCTCACTGTAACCTCCGCTTCCTGTGTTCGAATCATCCTCCCATAACACCCTCCCAAGTAACTGGGACTACAGGCATGTGCCACCACATCCAACTAATTTTTTGTATTTTTTTGTAGAGATAGGGTCTCTCTCTCTCTGTTGCCCAGGCTGGTCTCAAACTCTTGAGCTCAAGCAATCCTAAAGCACTGGGATTACAGGTGTGTGTGAGCCACTGCGCCTGGCCAAAGGTTAATTTTCTAATAAAATAAAATTGCTCTTTGCTCCTTCTGGCCACACTACTAATTACCAAAAGTGGCCTCCAGCTTAAAGGGCTTGGTAATGACAAGTATTTCAAATATTTAAAAACAGCTTTCTCATATATTTGCACCTACTTTTTTGTCATTTACATTAGTAGATGGGTAAATTTTCCTCCTAAATTTTGAAACACAACCTGCAGTCTTTGCTTTCTAAAGGATCCGTTCAGAAACTAAAGATTTATTTGATCTTATACAAAAATATGGCCAAGTGCAGTGGCTCACGCCTGTAATCCCAGCTCTCTGGGAAGCCAAGGTAGGCAGATCACCTGAGGTCAGGAGTTCGAGACCAGCCTGACCAACATGGAGAAACCTCGTCTCTACAAAAAATACAAAATTAGCCAGGCGTGGTGGCACATGCCCATAATCCCAGCTACTTGGGAGGCTGAGGCAGGAGAATTGCTTGAGTCTGGGAGGTGGAGTGCGTGAGCCGAGATTGTGCCATTGTACTCCAGCCTGGGCAAGAAGAGCGAAACGCCACAAAAAAAAAAAAAAAAAAAAAAAAAAAAAAAAAAAAAAAAAAAAAAAAAAAAAAAAAAAAAAAAAAGGATATACAGGTTTTCTCTTCCCCTCACTTCTCATCCACCCTCATAGAGCGGCCCATGCCATCTTCCCATGCCCAGTCAACAGTGACTTCCAAACACAGGCTAGCCTCTCCCTTCCTCCTCTCGTAAATCTTGTTGCCACCCTTAACACAGTTGCTGCTGTCCTTCTCATGCTTTTTAATGCACCACATACATTGTAAGAACTATCTTAGACAATATGTCATGCAACACTTTTCTCCCCCTTTTCCTTTTCCCTCCTGGTAAAAAAATTCACAGGACAATGTGACTGGGGGAAATATCAAACTAATAACCAACTTCCAAACCCGGAATCAGAATCACCTGGGGAGTGTATTAGGCACTCAGATTAAGGTACCCTGTTTTTAGGTCTGCAGTGGGATTTGTGTGGTTCTCAATCCTGGATGGAACAACTGAATCATCACAGAGCTTCTAACATTGTTATGCCTGAGCCTCCCAGAGAAGTTTTCATTGACGAACACAGTAGGCACCCAGTATCTTAAATCTTTTTTTTGTTGTTTTTTTTTAAAGATGGGGTTTCTCCACGATGGCCAGGCTTGTCTTGAATTCCTGACCTCAGGTGATCCACCCACCTCGGCCTCCCAAAGTGGTAGGATTACAGGTGTGAGCCACTGCGCCCAGCATTTTTTTTTTTTTTTTTAAAGATGGGGATATCTTTTTTTAAAGTTCCCATTTAGGAACCATTGCTAAGGCACAGTTTCATACAGCTCAATTAGAAAACACTGAAGTGGTCAATATACAATGCTAAGCCTCACTTCTCAATGTATACAATTCTCAATGTGTGGTCTCAGCAACAGGCATTGATATTATGAACTGGGACAATGAATTCCATGTACATTTTAACAAAATCCCCTCATGATTCTCAGGCACATCAATTTAAGAACCAATCATTTAGGACCAGGCACTGTGGCTCACGCCTGTAATCCTAACACTTTGGGAGTCCAAGGCAGGTCTAAGCTCAGCAGTTTGAGATCAGCCTGGCCAACATGGTTCAACACTGTCTCTAGTAAAATACAAAAATCAGCTGGGTGTGGTGGCATATGCCGTTAGTCCCAGTTACCCAGGAGGCTAAGGCACGAGCATTGCTTGAACCTGGGAGGCAGAGGTTGCAGTTAGCAGAGATTATGCCACTGTACTCCAGCCTGGATGACAGAACAAAACTGTCTCCCCCGCCCAAAAAAAGGAAATAAATCACTTAGGTCAGTGCTAGGTGAACTTTCTGTGATGATGGAAAAGTTCGTCAATGCTATTCAGTGTCGTAACCACTAGCCACATGTGGCAGAAGAGTATTTAAAATATGCCCAGTGAGAATGGGGAAATAAATTTTTGATTTACTTAAACATAAACAGACGTGGCTAGTAGCTACTATATTGCATGGGGCAGATCTAGATAATTTGTGCTGGTCAGAGGACATACACTTACAGATACAAACCTACTGCTACAAAAGGAAATCTACAGGAGTCACGGCCTACCGAACTGCCTTCTCCTCTTAATGAAGACAAAAGCCAGCTGTTAAAAACAATCCATTTATTGGGTTTTAAACTAGTTACACAATTGAAATAATCAGTTTGGCACTACTCTATACAGGGATTACGCCTGTGTATGCTGACACTTAAATACTGTACCAGGACCATTGCTGTGCTTAGGTCT